GGGACGCTTCTCCATTGTGTTACGTGCATAGGCCTTTCTTGCTGTCATGCTACTATCACCGGCCGCTGGCCCGCCTGAGATGACGTCGATCTGTCTCTCGAGGGGTCCTCTGGGCATGGAGTTGCCTCCCAGGATTTGAGGTGGCCTCTCCGGATTAGTGCTTGTATTTGATTTCAAAGGTCATGGCAGTCCTTCGTGTCATGGTCGTAGTCCCGGTGGAACCTGTAGTGTTTAGATTGATCTCTACGGATGGCCTTCATAGGGCGAGGTTGCTGCAGGAGACCCGTCTCCTTGATCTGGAGAAAGATCTCGGTGCTGGACGCATTTAGGAGGAGAGGTGGGGGCCTCGGGAGCGATAGCTCTTGTTGGTTGAGCCCTTGGTGGGGAGGTATCGGGACCACCGAGGCCGTTCCTTAAGACAGCTCCATCCTTGGGTTCCTACCTTCCACGTGCCTCCCTACCACTAGAGCCTCGGCGGCAACGTATTGGTTGGCGCATTGAAGCATTTATGAGATGGTCGTTGGCGGCTTCTTGATCAGCGACCAAAAGAACCTTGAAGGTTTCAGACCCATCAGAAAGGCCTGCAAAATTAGAGAGGGGTGAGCATCTGGAAAGCCCCGGATCTCAGTGGCGAACCGTGCCACGAACTAAGAGAGCGACTCGTCCTCGCGCTGAGATAGTGCGAGCAAAGTGGCCATAGAGGGCCTGGGCCGCGTTTGTCACGCCCCTCAAAAAATATCCATGATATTAAAATTTTCATCACAAACTAATCCAGGATCCAAACTAACATTTGAGGATACTGAAAAACATTCTATCAAATTCACATCTATAAAACCTGTGCAGTTTAGAATCATATATCACATCACTCGATAATTCACATTTATGGCAACCCAAGCCAACTTAACAAACATGAACAACATTTATAAATCCACAAGCTAAGTAATTTATACAATCATAACTCCAACCATTTACCACAAGTTCAGATCATCATAAACTAGACTTAACATTCCGAAATTCCAAATAAGAGAGATCTTCTAACACTTTTACACAGTATATCCATTTTGATTCATCGACAATATTTCATTACATACAAAATATGCTTATACAACAATAACATAATAACCAACAAGACTTGCCCATAATTCTGAATAGCTCTCCACTGCCTCAGCCCAATTCAAACATCTAAAAGAGTGACAAGTTGACCTGAAAGATTTATATACCAACAGAGTGAGCTAAAAACAGCTCAGCAAGTGACAAAGCATATCTAGCACGAGAAGGGACAGTTCAAACAAACAAGATATCATAATGCAAGACAGAATCCAAGAGATTCAAGGATATCATCTCATTAGATACATAATCGCAAATGTCATTTCGTTCATAACATATTTGGTTCATAACAAATGTAGCATAGAGTAATTGGAGCATATCAATAGCATACGAGATGTTCCGGAGCATATCAATTGCAAATAGGACATTTCGGAACATATCAATTCATAGCAAATGAAGCACAAAGTAATTGGAGCATATCAATAGCGTACGAGATGTTTTGGAGCATATCAATGGCAAATAGGATATTTTAGAACATATCAGTTCATAGCAAATGGAGCACAGAGTAATTGGAGCATACCAATAGCGTATGAAATGTTCCGGAGCATATCAATGATAAATGAAA